CCTCCCATCCTCCTCCATCAACAACCCCTCCTCCACAGCCCCTCCTCCCCCTCCTCCATCCATAGCCCATCCTATACCTCCCCTCCTACACACAGTTAGGTTTTAGTTGATAGTACTTGATATGTATCACTTTGATTTAGTATGCTTCTAGTATTGAATGTAAGATTTTTGAATAGTATAGATAGGAAGAATTTTGTTGTAGAATGTAGATATACATTTTGAATTATAGAAATGTATTGGAATGCTATATGACAAATTATTAGGTATCAAACTTAGTAATAGAAATTTTAGCAATCAAACTCTAAGTTATATTGTGAAATTATGACATTTTTCTATGATTCAAGAAGTAGACAATAATTTATATTCAAATTGGATATTTACTTGATAGCTTATAGGGTTTTGCCAGAGAATACCTCCGAGTGGCCTATGTTTTGCCAGAGTATTGATTAATTTCTGTTCCGGCAAATTTCAGGCGCTTGATATGTCCTTTTTTAGCAAAGGTCATGCCAGAATTTTCCGTGGATTTGAGCATGACTTGTGCTAGAATGTAGTAAATATCGAGTGGCTTCGATCTGCCGAAAAGAGCATTAAACGAAATTTTGGGTTTTGCCATCGAGTTATAATCTTTGAGTTTTGAACATAGGAGATGTCTGATGACGATGGGATCCCAGAGTGCGGGTACTACTATGACGACCGGGGTTTGTGCGACAGGTTTCCTCACTATAAAATGATAGTTTTTTCACCGTGAAGCTGGAAGATACCTTTGTTGTTTGTACGATACGCAACGACAAGCATTTCATCGTAATTAATATCATCACTTGTGCTTCTTTTGTTCAACGTGTAATTTCTGGATATTTTTCAATTCGATTAGTACATCTCATGCCATTCTATACCATATGTATTGGAGAAGCTTGGTTTCAAAGACTTTGAGAATATGGAGACGAGGAGGGCTCACTTAGGAACTAAACATCGTTATGAGTTTTAGGTTAAGCTGTATAATGACATCAATCAATCCCATTTCGGCTGCTGTAATTGGGAAGCTCTCTGCAAGGCATATGGATTTGAGGAGGGTATGCAAATAAGATTTGATATCCGTCCTGAAGATTAGGATGATGATGACAATATTGACATCTGGGTGGATGTGGATATGCCTCCAGTTTTGCCTAGATATGAGTTTGTCAAACTAATTTGTTAAGTTAAGTAATTTATATTGTTAATTTAAAAATATTTGGTGTTCATCGGTACTAAACTTATTTATTTATAATTGTCAGCTTTTTTCTTATCTTTAAGAAATACTCGGAAGGTTGTAGACAACACATACTACATCTATGGCTTCGAGCTTAATTGTGAGAAGAAAGGTTATCTTGTCTCATTCATAGA